TTTGAAAATAATATTTAATCGAAATATTATAAATTAATACTTAGCATATTCAACAATGTAAAATATCTTAATCTCTAAGAAATTTAATTTTCATAACTTTCTTTTATCATTCAGAAAATTGGTTATAATATAATTATCTACAAATAATTTGTTCACAATAATGGTGAACATAAGATTGTAATTCAGTCAATTCTTTTGTTAATATCAAAATGAAAGAGTTCACAAGAAAGCATACATAGATCTATAAAGGTTTCAAAGTAATGCAATTAAGTGAATTTCATTCAGTTATAAGCTTCATAATTATATTCATTAAGATATACATTTGAGTTGAATCATAGTGGTAAGTAAAATGCATATATCATCTTCAGAATCATTGTAACTTTTAAATACTACTGAGTTTTTTTTTTTAAAATCAAATCAAATGCTATCATTATGTATAAATTATATTATACAAGAGTATTAGTATATGATACTTGTGAGCCTAACTTTAGTCTCTTGCATGCCGAATGTTACCTTTTTGAAAATTAATTACTCAGAGTAGTGAATTTATAGCACAAGATGATAAGAAAATAAATTATTTCGATTTCAATTTATATCACACGAATGTTCGGTTCTGTCATTATGACGCGCAAAATTTTCATCACTTTGAACGCAAGAATTTTGCATCTTTCATAGCTCTAAGAAATTTTCATTCCAAATTATAAGTAATATTCATGTAACGCAAACATGAAAAAAGTCAATTATAATGTTCTATAGATACCTTTAAAAAAATCGAATGTAAACTAACTTCAAAGATAAAAAAAAAATTAGATCAATGATCAACATCTCAAAGTCTAATTAAATTCATCATGCACATATTGATTTTCATTCAAGATTTACATTAATACTTTCAAGATTTTTTATATATTTAGTACTTTTTAACTCAAAGATTATCATTTTTTTTTATCGAAGATCATTGTTTAAAAACGTCCCTGGGCTATCTGGAAGGGAAAAAAATCAATGATTCATATGAATCATGAGAAATTTAATTTCGGATTTATTCATGGTAAAAAACTCAAAAAATTAAGTTTAAAACTATTTAATAAGTTCAATATGTTTCGGTTTCAATCTACAACCATTCGTTGAATTGAATTCTGAACATATAGGCAAGTGGCATTAGATTTGTAGTCAAGATATATCATTTTATCACAAAGTAAATTGATACACGAAATAAATATAATAAAATCCAAAGTCCAAACTAAACGCAAACCCAATCACCCTTGTGATTAATTTCTCGAACTGCAACTCTCCTATACCAGTGCACACAATTAAAATTGAAATGTACATTTATCTGCTTATGAGATCATCAAAGTAAATCCAACTTGAAGTTCAAACTAAACAAACTAGGGTTGTATAATGCAGGGTAAATTTTTTTGTCCTCTAGCATGTATTATCGTTCATGAATTAACCACATACTTATTCCAATACTCACCCGCATGTAGCTTTGGAGGTCACTCACCTGACTCGATTTGGTTAGCTCTTTACAAGATGGAAAGTCCTTGTCAGCTGACCACAGAAAATAAACCATGCAACAATTGTGATGGAATGATATGTGTACAGTGATATATGATCATCATAGAAATCTCGCAATGAAAGCACTATCCATCAGCGATGTTCCAAAGTTGTGAGTGCATTGAGGAAACAACTTATCTTAATCAGGAGGTTCTAACAACCATAAACACAATCTACTCCAGTTGAGCCCTATCAGACGAGCTTCGGCCAAGACAACTAGTTGGATGTGACAAGAATCGCCTAGGAAAACTACACGAAACCTTTAAAGAAAGAGCGTAGCTCTGTCGTTCCAAGGACACACCATCAAGAGAACAGAAAAAAGAATCCAGACGATTTTTGGAGTATTCCGAGCTTCTTTATCTAGAAAAGAGCCAGCTATTTTTTACCCTCATGAACTGTTATGGCAACTCGCATTAGAAAGCAAAATCGGGTGAGTGAGGATCTCTCTGAAATGGGATGGGATCTACATTTTTTTAAAGTACCCCTCAAACCGTTAGCACAGCCGTCTCTCTCTCTCTGGATCCCGTCCTAAGGCGGTGGGAAGTCAGGGGGCGAGCGTTCGGGAGGGCGACGTACAGCTTCTGTCCGCGTCTGTCTAGGAGGTCAAGTTCTTACGCGGCGGGTGGACCGTAGTGGACTAAACGAAGCCGATGGGACTTAATTCCCTCTGACCTGTGGGGACGGGGACCATGCTCCAACGCGCATCTATTCCCGACCCGGTCCGGTCCGGTTATGTCCGGGAAATAACACTCCGTTTTTAGATTCTCGGTGGGGGTCCAAGATTCACATGATGGCGGCAGCTTAATTTACTTGCGAAATCTATGGTCGCTCGGTCTGGTCATCGTCGTCTTCTTCTTCTCCCATCTCGCCTCGTTACTGCGGCGGGCACCGATGAGAGCCTCGGACCATGCCTCGAAAGTTGGACCGGTAGGCCCGACCGCGTACGTATCACTGGTGGCGACATGCGGTCGCCGATGGCGAACCACACAAGGAGACTGTGTAACCCACTGCTGATGGTGCGCCTATTGCAACCGCGGTCGCCCGTGGTTTCGAGGAAATGATTCCCGCGTCAAAATGTTACCGCGCTAATGAGAGTCACAGTCGGAGCGGATTGACTGCGACGGCGTTTTAAGTCGACCGCCGTCGAAACCACCCCGCCCATACTGACTGCGACGCTTCGTCGGGAAGGTATCAGAAGCCGTGCTGTTCAAGGCCGGGAAAGGTCGGAAAAGGTCGGAAAGGAAGAGATATTCTTCACTGCGGGAAAAGAGGGGACACTATCGCAATGGCGGTGTTGGTTGCGAGGCTAGTGCTGTAGACTAGTGCTCGACTCGGGAAGTGCTCCGGTAGACTCTAATCATGTTCCCCGCAGTCTACAGATGATCTAGGGATTGAAATCGGCGAGAGTTCAGCTGGAGCACTCAAAGGCGTTCTAAAAGGCGAAAGAACATCCGACATCGTTTCGGTCTGAGCAGGACGAACACAGTTCGCGGTTTTAAAGAATCGAGGAATCAAACGAGCTAGGAGGCGCGCATGCAATGCCTCTACAGTCGAAGCATGCAAAGGGCTCACAACAGGTCACGGCATTGTACACGGCGGATTCGGTTTCCGAGTTTCATCTCGACACGAAATACGTGGGAGACAATACTCGACGGAAAATGAAGACCATGATTCTTTTCTGGCCGGGAATATTGAAAATATGTTTCTTTGCTCGAGATTGGACGGTAGGGCAACTGTAGTCTTTTGGAGTGGCGAATTGTGCGAGAGGACAGTGCCAGTGATCGTGATGCCGAACAAACAAAAGATCAAAAAGTACAGTGATGCAGACCTGAAGTCGCGAAGACGATGGTGGGGTCGGTCCGCAGGTGAGAGGAGAGAGAGAATTGGAGAACCGGGTCCTTTCTTCAAGCACATGACGAAGTCCAGCCTTCGGAAGTCAATTCCATAGTTTGCATGGGGTCTCAGTTCCAAGCTGGGTGTCAAGATACCCCATATCTAAATGCCTTTTTGGTGCACCCAATATCAAAGCATTGGATCGACTTCCACGGGCGCCCCCAATGCATTCCTTTACACAACGTTGCGAAGTTTTCATCAGATATTTATCGCGTTCCTTCTCAAAAGAACCTAGAAAAAAGCTCCAAGAAAAACTATAGAAGATGTGGATAAGAAAGGTACAAAAGCGTACAGGTGCACGAGAGACAAGAACCAACTAGACCTAACCACTCAAAAAGCTCGAAACCCAAACTGAAAAGCTTAAATACGAGTGACAAGACCAGAACAATGAAGGGTCCGAATCCAAACTCGAGCTAATAGAAGGAAAAAAAGTGCTACGGAAAGGAGATAAAAGAGACCAAGAAAATTGACCTGGAGAGTTCTAGTACCTGCGAAGCTGATTGTGTTACGCGTAACATAAACGAAAGCAGATATCACCGAAACAGAGCTCCGCTGCCCAGAGTGTGATGCACGTCCTGTCCAATGGCGAGAGAAGATACTTACTTCAACCGCACGCAAAATTACAAGACCCAAATACAGGTGACGAGTGGGGATACCCATTCCACTATTGCACCCACAAATATGCACGAATAAGAAGCCGCTGCGCAAGAGATTTACGGCGGAGATATGCATTCAAGGTTGCTATAGGAAGTGAAGGTGTAAGTCCAAACTAGTGAAGATGAGTAGAACCAAGAAAAAGAAAAATGTCCAAGGCATTGAAACACTTACAGAATGTGATAAAGACAACGCATTCCTCGCCCTCAAACCGACGGCGACGTACTCAAATGGAGCAAACCAGGCGAGAATACCAGATCGGCGTTCAAACGTAGTTTCTTTCCGCGGAAGATGTAGAAGAGTGAGAAAATTAAGAAGGGTGAAAAAACGGAAGAATACGAAACATCTGAAGTGGAAAATGATTAGTTTCGGGAAATGTGGCGGTCCGTAATGGGCCTGACGAGAAGCGCAATTGTGAGAGAGAGAGAGAGAGAGAGAGAGAGAGGAAGGTAGTGAGAGAGGGATGGAATTTGGTGAGGCGCTTCGAGAGACCTCTTTCGGTTCGACTGACCGGAGCGGACCGTGCTGTAAGTCTGGCGCGGGGGGCCGCGGGATGGGAGGAGCGGGCCGGGAAGGGAAGGGAAGGGAAGGGACGGGTCGGGGCGGGGTCCGGTGGTGGGGCCCGGAGCCTTTTTTCACCGGAGCAGGTGCCGAAGACGGCTGGACCACGGGGCGGAGTCTGAGGAAGTCAGTAAGATGCGAAGGCGGGGGCAAGTTGCGGGTACAGTCCACCCGCGAGCCTTGCCGCGTAGCACCTTCTCTTACCATCGACTCCGTTCGCGACAGCGCACCAGCAACCGATCAAAGTGTCTTTTCATGTCACTTTCTGGAACGTACCTCGCGGCTCGGCCCCGCGGCCCCCCCTCCCCTCTCTCTCCCCTCCTCCTCCCCCAGACCCCTCCCCCCCCCCCCCCCCCCCCCTCACCTCATCTATATCACTCGGCCATTGCCATTGTTGATCCGACAACTCACCGCCTCGGACCGTCTCCTCTCTCACTCTTTCTGTGGCTCTGCGGCCCAGCATCTGCACTCCTCTTCTCTCCTCTCCTCGACTCGACTCTGACCCCCAACATCTGAAGCTCGCTCGCCCTCACGAGCGGAGCGGTAGGCATCAACTCAACGCCGACTGACTGACCGAGGAGGAGGAGGATCACCCAGCACTCTTTCTCTCGCAGCAGCTCTCCAGCAGCTCTCATCAATTGCTCATTGAAAGGAAGGCACCACTCGTGAGAGCTGGTAATCATATGCTTGGGTTAGATCCGAGTTTTGGCAACAAAACTCACTTACTCACTTATACGTGCGAGAGATTCACGTCGCCAAGCTCACGGGCAGTTGAGTGTCGTCGTGGTCGTCGTCAGGAGGGGCTTTAGTGTTGGAGGAGAAGAGGACTCCGAGGAAGAAGAATCGGGAGACGAAGAGGAGTCGAACGAGAGGCTGGCAGGTAGACAGACTCACACGGACAGACAGGTTGAAGGAGGAGGAGGAAGGAGAAGGTTCGGTTGTGATTGTGATTGCGATTGTGCGTGTGGTGCTGGTGGTGCGCGCGAGGAAGAAGTCTCGGCGTGTTGTCGCTCGAGAACGAAGCGTTTATCGGGTCCAAGGTCGTGAGTAGGCATGCAGATATTTGTTAAGACCCTGACTGGCAAAACTATTACCCTGGAGCTGGAGAGGTCAGATTCCATAGGCAATGTCAAGGTGAAGATCCAAGATAAGGAGGGGGTTCGTCCCGAGCAGCAGCGCCTGATTTTCGCAGGGAAACAGCTCGAAGATGGCCGCACTTTGGGAGACTATAATATTCAAAAGGATTCCACTTTACACTTGGTGCTCCGCTTAAGAGGAGGTCCGATCTCGTGGTGACGGCCGCAGGTACCCCACCACCGGCTCTTTCTCTCTCCCACATTAGCGCGTTTTGTTGGCAATAAGGATCCGTCGGCGGAGGGGAGCCAAGGCGGTGCTCGGAGACCGTTGACATACTTCGATGGCGACCACCAGGATACTACGATTTTGTGATGCAGTGTGTCTTCTGCCAGAGAAAGGCCTCCCATGTGACGAACACGGCTGCGAAATCTCGGCACAAGTTTGCGAGTTCCCGGAAAATTCAGCAGGAGAATTACATGGAATTTTATACATGTTTCATCTCTCCATTGTCTTAATACAAACATCTGTTATACTCGAGTTACTACTATCGTCTGGTGTGTTCTTTCTTCCCGATTGTCAGACTTGCTTAGAGTGGAGAGATAAATCTTTGATTTCCTACCGGTTTGGGTTCTTTCAGAGAATAGAAAGGCGCACTCAGGGTTGTCACTGCCGCATGGTCGCCTCTGTACCGCAGATGGGACGGCTTTTAGGTAGAATTCAGTGTTGACCCTGTGAAAATCATGATGACATTTGTAATATAGACAGCATGCCCTATGGCAGATTTCTCTCAAAATGCCCCCGTGTTCATGTTGCGCATGTTCTTCTCGTGGATTGGATATCTTCTCTAGTTGCTATGGTGTTCCGGAAATCGTGGATGAAATTTTTACATCGTGTGCATCATCAGTTCAAAAGACCACATCTCAGTGGCCCGGAGAATGCTACGCATTGTTCCACTCTCGGATGTTACCGGCCATTACTTTCTCATTATGACCACGATGGTGACAGTCACTTGATGGCGTTGGGAAGCTCTATAAGCGAAGATTTTTACACAACGAACTTTGCACACATGTCAATGCCTCTGTCTATGCACCAAAAGTTGCAAGTTCATTGCACCGGGACTGGAGCTGACATCTGCTTACTGTAGGAATATTTAAATTATTTTAATATATGCTCGCAGGCATCTTCTTATGCTACTAGCTGCTGCCTATCACATTATTGGAGTGCAAGTGAGTATGTAGCGCCGGGCATCTAAATTGTCGATTAACCTGCAACGAGTGGAGTAGATGGAAGCGAATGATGACGGTTTTCGATCATGCTTGTGCCACAGCGGTTACTTTAAAACTCAGGGCCAAGCCAGTCGTGATCATTGCACTAATCCCCGGACTAGAAACTGATGCCTTTTCCTCTCTGGCCCATGTCCAGTGGTACGCCTCCTTACGTGCGGGACAAGAAATCGTGACTCTCGCCTAAGTGGTCGGAGTGTTTTGTTCCGAAATCTGTGTTCCCATTCCCTCGGTTAACTGGCATATCTAAATTTGTTCTTCTAAAGAAGTTCCACCATACAAGTCAAATGATCAATTGACCCATCGATCCTTGTTTTTGATTGTTCACTTGCTTGTTTTAGGATATACTCGCTTTACGGTGGGCACATGCCGTTTTTAGAACTAAATTTCTCATCCAAGCGACCAGCACTTGTGCGCTGTTTAAAGAAATTCTGTGTATATGAAGGTCGAAATGTCGAAAGACACTGGCCGTAATCCTAACTGTCCCCTTATATATCAACAAATCTTTTTCACTCCCGGAAATTCATCGAACATTCTTTTGAACACCTTACCGAGTAGTTACACAGTTGCAATATTGACTCTGCATGAACGATTGAGTGACCCAGTGACCTGGATTATGCGCCGAAAGTCCCTCAGAACTGTGCTCCGGCGGTGAATGGTTATCCCTCTCCGTGCAAGTGCCGAGAAGATCTGTTAACTCAATAATTTGATGAGATTTGATCACTGTACTGCAGAAGCGTGATACTCGCTGGACGGATATTTTCTGTCAGAAGGGCAGCAGCAGCGGCCCGGACGAGTTTTCGAGTAAACAAGACCACTGCACCGCACCAATCACGAGTTCGTGTATCCGGTACCGGAATCAACGTGCACTGTCAATTTGGCATCTGCTCGAGAGCCTGACAATCTTCGACTTCATTGCAAGTTTGTTCTCGTGCAGAGGAAACGCCCATTGGCGCTTCCTCCACCGGCTCGATTCTGGAATGAGAGTGTCCTGCAGAAGGAGCACCACAAGCCCAAAAGGAAGAACCATTGAACTCGCCGCCAAAAGCTACCATCGCTGCCTCATGTATAACGAGTGACGGATGTTGAGGACCCCAGGAGGCCATTTCCCCATGCCTTTCCCGTCGCCCTGTTGAGGACACGACAAAATAAATGCCTGCTTCAGTTGGAAGACGTAGAACGCGCTCGGATTAAGATTTATCTTCTGCGGAAGACACTGGCGCACGTCTCAAGCGGCCTCTTTCAGTTGTGTCTCGGATCAAAATGGTGCTTTTCGCTCCGAGTAGATCTCGATGTAAGTTGCTACTGGGGCTCGAGACAACGATGTTCGGATCTAATCCGGAGGAAAGTGGAGGAAAGTGGAGGAAAGTGCGTGCCTGCGCGAGAGAAAAAAGCAGTTCGTCCCATTGTAAGTGGGTTGTTGTGACGTCCATCTTCTTGTCCCTAACGAAATCGTCTCAGAGTCCTTCAAGGTCGGTCGGCGAAGATAAATGCCCCGAACCGCTCCCGTAATTGCAGCCATTATCCACACTCGATACGGCCCCGAGCGCTCCCGAGGATATAGACGAGGAAACCTCTGCCTCCTCGCTGTAAAATCGCCATCATCGACCTCCTGGCGCTCGAGCCTCCTCCCCGACACGTGCGTCGATGAAATCTGGCCAAGATCGGGCCCAACTGCCGCAAAAAAGCTGCCGTATCCTCATCCTCATCCTCGTCCGCGTCGCAGAACCCCAACGCAAGCGATATCCGGCAGGAAGCTCACCGGGCTCTTTCGCGCGGGCGGCATCGATCGCCCTATTCCCATCTCACCCGCGACCGCGTTCGAATAAAACCTTTAAAGATTCCTCTTCCTCGCCTTTTGGGTTTCGGAGAGTTGCGCACTTAAATTCCCCGTAGTAGTAGGCTCGTACGGGCGGACGCTTTCTAGCCGTTACGGAGCGGTGTTACACCGCGGGCTGGGAAATATCGTCGGGGTGAAGGGGACGGGTGAGGAAAAATCGGCCCGCTTTGGAGGAAAAAGTCGTACGGACGGGTGAGGCGGATCGGAGACCTGGTCGCAGCCGGTGAGAGGTGAAGGTGATGGTGAAGCTTCCTGGGCCGCCTCCTGCTGCTGCTACCTGGACGCCCGGTCGCCTCTTCGTCCACAGCTACTGTATCTATTTACAAACATTAAAACTGTCGGTAAGGTGAGAGAGAGAGCGCAGGAATGTTGACATCATCGTCATCATCATGATCGTCGTCGTCGTCGTCGAGGGGCCGAGGGCCCGAGGCCGCTTGGTGACTTTCGTTTCGTTCGTCCTCACCACACGGTGGAGGCTGACTTTCACACGGGGGCCACCCATGCTCACGAATTTTACTTTCGCTAAAGATCGCGTTATACGGTTGCTCCATGGTTCTTGGACCCCACCCCGTTCGCTTCGTGACAGGCGATTCTGCAGGCCCAATCGCACGCCCGATTTGCTTTCCAGGCTCCAATCGCGTAGCCGGAATGGGTTGAATCTCAGCGACGAGAGCGATTGGGAGTTTCTTCTGAGAGAACGATCCCGGGCCTGCCTCGGAGCCAGAGGAGCTACCCTGACTATGACTGACTGGTTGTTCTTGGAGCCAAATTGAGCGAAGTCTGTCTCCATCCATACTGCTTGGCTGGAATTTCAGCGCGAAATCAGAGGTGAAGGGCGGAATGCCTCGAGACTTGGAGGGCGTGGAAGTTTTTTTTTCTCCTTCTCAAATGGGTGGATGTGTTCGCACACTCTAAACTAAGAAATCGCACTCACTGTCGCAGAGAACACGGATTACGAGCTGGGCTGGGCTCGCAAAAGAGCTCGTTCCTTACAAGAAGTGACCTCCAGTTCCACTTTTTCCGACCTGTGGGCCCTCTGCAGAATCGGAACCGCACGAAAGTCAAGGCTGCCTCCGGCCCTTTCCCGCCACACCCTAAGATGCAATCTATCGATCTAACATGCCATTCGCCCGTACCAGCCTACCCTCGCGCTGGCTGGACGCCGAGAGCACATATATACCTTGTATGTCGCCATGTACGTGCCGTGCCAGTGCATCCAGCTACGAGATCAACAGTGAGGAGGAGGGGGTGCAGGAGGTGCAACTTCGCATGTCGCTAAATTCCATAGCTATGTCGCACGCGATTTCCCTCCCTCCCTTCGCCAAAGCTAGACTTTTTGGGTTGGCTACTTCTCTCCGTAGATTTCCTGGCGTCGAGTTTTATTCCTGGATTTCGCTACAATCGATGATTCGTTCAATTTGTTGCATGCACCTCTTGCACTCACATGTCTGCGTTCATTTGCGCTGGCCGGTGGATATTCTCGTTCGTTGTCCGGATTGTCGTCCGTGATCTTCGATCCCTGATTTTGGCAAAAGGTGTGAACGACGTTCTGAGTTTAGTTCCCAGATCTGGAGGAGAAGGCATCGAGCTCCTTTTGAGTGCACATTTAAACACTCGAGTGCTTCTCGCCCTTCTTTCTCGAGGATAAGAGCCGATACCGTCGGGCGCCAAATAATGAGCAACGGGCCAACCTTATCCGTTCGCGCTGATTTTTCCATCCAAGATCGCAATGTTTTTCGTTCATACATTTTTCCTTTGTACTTGCCGGCAAATTTTTTACAACCTGAATTGTAATGATGAGCAGCGATCTTCAAAAAGCTTGTGACATTTATCGTTGGCCCTTCAAGCCATTGATGAACGCGTTCCACCAGAAGAAGAATGAACATTATTACCATCCATAGACACGTATGCCGTCCAATGAGCTTGAAGGATATCCACTAATTTTCGTAGATTCCGTTTGATCCGAAACTAGTGTAAATGCTCACGGTCGAGACCTTGTTCTGCTGATTTCTTATGAGCGAACATTCTCGAGCTTATTAGAGGAGATGAACCACTTATTCCTAATATTTTGCTGCAAAATGAGACAATGAAGAATAAATTAGTCTGTCCCTTAATTTCAGAAGTAGATCTAACGTCCATCTGGTGTGCATCTCTCTTTGTAGAATCGATTAGAAGCTTTACAACCACTTGGCTTTACATCTCTTTCGTTCCACCCGGTTTGCAATAATCTTTGATGCATCGGTGAACCATATATGATAAATGTCATATTATGGATAATTATTTATTTGGAATACTTGTTTATATTCTAGATGAGAAACATGTGTACATATGTGATTATCCTAAAATCTTTCTTATTTTATGGAAATATTTTCATCATTATATGCGCTTTAAGTTTATTTTTATTTAGTTCTTCAACAGTAAATAGAATCGTGTTTTTCATATTTCATCCTCAGTGGAAAGAAGCGACCAAAGGGCAATTTTTACAAATTTATCGAAAGTTCCAAAGTGTAGAGAGCAAACAAAGACTGGAAAATATGGGATCAAAATCAGGGGATGAAGATCGCTAGTGGCCCCTGAAAACGTAAACATTATTCATTGCGGCTCTGAGATTTCCGGGAACCATTCTGTGGATTTGGACAACAGAAAATTCATCATTCATAGCCTATGAGTCCCTGTGAATCATAGGGAATCTGATGCTCTCTACCGAAAATTAGAAACTACCACAACATGTCCATTTCGGAGTATACTCTAAAATATTGTGAGTGTCTAGCTCTCCATCCACAGAGCCATACATATATATAACGAAATTACAGGAGACAACAGGTTGCACGACGATGAATATCGTATGAATTTCTTAGATGCAGGCCACTCTCGCATCCTAAGTCTATCTACCAAGTACTTTAAATTTTTACGCTTGACAGTGAAATAATTTTACCCTTCCGTTGAGAAAAGAAGTGACCTCTGAGGAAACCACGGGTGAATTATTTTGGATATATTCAATATGAATCATCAATATTTACAGCTGAATATCATTGTAGAAAGCACATTTCCATTATTATGAGTTGAAACAAGACGATCAAAAAATAGCGGATTAAACTGGAGTACGATTGTACCTTGCCAGCTAGGTGCCCCTGGATCTGAAGGGAGGATCGAGGCCTTCAAGGCGCCATGAAGGCGCAATGTCGCTTCACCGGAGCTCGAGGTGCCTTCCTCTTGTAGCAAGAGTAAAAGTAGTCGGCGGCAGCAGCAGCAGCGGCATCTCGATCGCTTCCGACAGACGCACGGAAGATGTTGTTGAGATGGGTCAACTACCAGACCCTCGATATCGGTCCTCGAGCATTCTTGCTCCGACAATCGCTCAGATCTAGTTTCTAACACTATGGAGGAGCCTACTGCAGGTCTCACTTTCGGCAACTCACGAACAGATTGGCCGGCCAAAATCTCTTTTGACGAACTTTGGGGTCCATGGCTCCCTGCCACCTCGTAGCTGTGAAGATGATCGAGGTTGTTCTTGATTTTCCTTCCAGCGCACATGCACGCCACTTTCCGTAGCTTTTGTGCTGCCTTGCCTTGTTTATATATTTCTTTGCCTCGAGCTTTTATCCTCGACTGCTCCCCTTGTGTCAAGTGGGCTCTGGCGATTGGCGGACCAGCTCTATGGGGCACGCTACGACGTAGGATCTTTTCGGTGCGGAACTGATGAAATCTGCTGACAAAGTTTCCGTGTGATGAGGCGCACCCCGGTGACTGTCCATGGCAGAAGACGATGACATGACTCTTCGCCAGCCATCACGGGACCAGGCATGATGTCTCCATTATACGAAAAAGATTTCTTTATCCAAAAGGCGCTTCTCAGATATTAATTCCCAGAGACACCAACCGCGAGGAGGATAGTGTGAAAGTACACATTTGTTGGATTCTCTGTAATTTGTCACTAGTAGTAGTAACAGACCTCGTATGAGGAAGCGGTAGCTGTGAGTAAGTACGGCCAAGGAGAAATTCTACAAATGCGCTGATCATCTTTTTCATTGCCGGGAACCTCCAAGCGGAGGTGTTGGGTCTATTCCAAAAATGATTACAAGACTTTACAGGGAACCTCTGGGGTCTGTATCTTACACAGAATGTCCTGAAACTAAACTATTCGGAACCCTGTAGAACTTGTGCCACCTTCCTCTGTTCGACCTACCCACAGGTAGGTCGATCAGAGGTTGTCCATAATAAACTCGAAGGCAATGCTGCATGCCACTGATGCGTCTCTTTATCTACACACCGGAAGTCCGAGGAACTTCAGCTTGGAAGTTGGCTTCTTCTGCGACGCTCGAAATAATGTGGGGCGACTTCCGTGAGCCACTCCGGGTCAGAGATTGCAACGTCCCGCATGTAGAACCGCTCCGTGACCATGACAGAGTGGAAAACCACCCACTTCGGAGTTGTCCTGTTTCTCAACACACGTCAATGCGTCATACGGTAATCATATATCAAATTCTGAAATTCCTTAAAGACTCACAAGTTTTCATGCGTGGGGGATTTATGTCGTTTCGCATAATGGGGTGACTGAAACCAACCTGAATAGCACAGATGAAGGATGAATGTACATTTGTTGGCCTCCTCTGACAAGCTTGTATGAGTCACCTGATGGCTGTGAAGATCACAAACACATGCTCACTTTGAAACTCTTTTGACATCATAAATGTCCAAGTTACAGGATTAGATTAGATTATGGCCCTACTGACATGATTCTTACAAAACCCAACGATAAATCTCATCCTCACAACTCAGACTGAATCAAATAATTTTACCTCAAGCTCTGCTGCATGCGCAAAAAACCCTGCAGTCACTGTCTTCAATATACACTGTACAAACAAAGGACAAAGATGAGATGAGACTCCTGTCCCCTCACGAACTCCGGAGATGCAAATTTTGCAAATACAGTGTCCGACAATGACATTTGCTGACCTTAATATCCCCATCACTTGACTTCAAAGTGATACCTAATTGCTGTAGCAGTTTACTCAGCTGCTTCCTCACATCCACAACTGTTTTCTGTTATAAAGCACACACAGCACGTCAGTTCTGAAATTGACAATCTTGCAGACGTATAAAGCTGGGGCATCCAATCATGAACTGCCACGTATGCGATACCCAGGCCGACTCGACTTTTGTAAGCGTGCACATAGTTCTATGTTTGTAAAGAGCATCTGGTAGTCTACTTGCAAAATCTTGGCCGACTTCGATCTTTGTCTAGCTCAGTTCATAGGCGGCAAATTACAGGGTACAAATTTCTTATTCCAAGCTTCAACGTGGCAGAATTGAACCTCACAGGGGCCATATAACCTTACCATGGCTTGATAGTTAATGAGGTTTTCGTGACACCACTGAGGAGATTGTTTGGCTCGAAGAAATGATTCGTACACATTGAGATACGTCACATGGTCGCCCTGAGCGATGGAGAGCGTGTGTTAGAAAAAGAAATCATAACGCTGGGAAACTAAAAGACAGCCAGGTCTACTTGAGGGAAAGCTCCAAAATCTAGTAGAATAATCACCTCTACGACTGCGAATTGGTCACGCGCGTCGTCAAGCTCCCGTTGTCGGCCCTTGCTCGATACCCAAATGGACTGGCACACAACGTTCCAGATCTAGTTACCATACTAGGCACACACGAAAACTAACAATCTAGGTTATGCTGGACCTAGTTGGAATCATTGTACCCATATATACTCTCACAAATTTTCCCAATGTTTTTCAAGTTCATATAATAAATTAAAAGCGCAGGCAGAGAGCTCTCTGTACCTGTACAGAGAGCATCGCAGCAATTGTGACAGCCTCTGACGAACAAGAGTTCGAACTAGAGGACAGGACCATTTTCGCCATCATGGGATCCTGTGAGAGACAGCATAAGATGTTTCACGCCTGCTCATTCTACTCCAATGTGAGCATCCATTGACAGTAGTCAAACAAATCAACTTGAAGCGGAAACCTTACAAGCGGAAACTCTGCGACCTGGTGACCCAGGGTGGTCAGCTTGGCATCAGTATCAAGTACACCAATTGCATACAGAAGCTCCAATGCCCTTATCATGGCCTCCGAGGACGGTGGCGCCAGCCAGTCAAACCGCATGATGTTGTCAATACCTAACGCCTTCAACTATCATACAGGGTATCACAAACGCACCAATTCAGCACACTTCGATGACTTCCCAGCACTTGCTGATGAGTGCATAGTTTCCCACAAACACAATTGAAATAATTATGACCCGACAGTTCATTGTAAAAGTCAAGGAAGTTATTACCTAGTCAACACGTCCTAAAACGAGATCTAATGCTTCCGCACCACTAGGACACACGCACCACTAGAGCTTTCAAGATGACTTGAAGCTCTAGAGTATTTGCTGAAGTTCCTTCTCATGCTTCAGATCCTTACAGAAAATTACAAACGTTCAAACCCGAATCATATTCAAATTTTAGAACAGAGATTACCTGGAGCACCGTAGAGACCAAATTGGATCTCTGTATTTCAGGAACAGTCTCTGGCTTCATATCATTGCAGTATGTATCTTCTGTGTATAGCCTGCAAATCCAAACGCTCTGCTATTCGCCAGTAAACAAGATATGCATGACTGCCATCTCCAGCATGAATCTCAAGTAATTGCTCTAAACAAACGTTGTACTTTCACAAGACACTCCTATCCTAGGTCGTCGTTACAAATCAGCTTGAGTCTTCCACATCTTCAAGACCCTAAATTGTCTAAAACTTCAAAGTCTTTGTGAACCATGATCACCCAAACGCCATGAATACAGTACCTGAAGCATTTTCCAGGTCTCATTCTCCCAGCTCGCCCAGCTCTCTGCTCAGCAGAAGCTCTGGAGATAGGTGCAGTAACCAGGGCATCTACATCGGTCAACTGCCAGTAACCAGACGTCAATTCGAATGGTAGCGTTGCCTTAAGATTTGGATTCCTACTATTTGAGACGTGGAGCTTTGAGGAAAAAACGTGACAGTAGACTCAGCCGCTTAAGATCTCAGCATGTTTATTAATGACCTCAATGCCACCTCAGCGTTTTGATTTGGCAATATTGGCGTGTTGGTTTTTTGCTGCAATTTCTCTACTACTTTGTCATTCTTTATGAAGTAAATTCAACTCAGTAAGATGTTCGCTTATCTGCTCACTCTGGTCCGTTGTTTGTCTTTTGAACATTTCTACCACGTTTCTAAACACTTCAATTTTTCAGTGTTATCCAAGCTCAAACAAGGGGTTGTGTTCGTTTGTGAGAAGATAGACTCGTGTCTACTTACCGGATTGTAGAAGCGCTGCTTTGCAAACCCAGAATCAATCACGTACACTATACCCTGGATCAACATCCAAAAGCTGTGAGATCCCTTTGTTATTGAAAAAACCCTGCATATGTTGAGCATAGAACTTCTCCTCCTACATAATAATAATGGAAAAATCTTATACCAATCTATGAATAACATATTCGGACGTTCCGGCTTCGAATTGTAACGTCAATCATCACTCTCTGGCAAGAAACCAGCCACTGAGATGCTTTCGTCATTCTAATTACAAAGAGGCACATTTACCGGAATTGTAACAGAAGTTTCAGCTATGTTTGTTGACACGATTACTTTTCTTCTCCCTTGAGCAGCTGGTCTGAATACAAGCTCCTGATATTCAAAACTCTCGAACGTCATCATATGGTAACGACAGGAGGCTCCCAAACTCTAGAAAACAAAAATAAAAAATGAACAAATACTTTGTAATAAACTTTCAATATTCAAAAGCTCTCGCTTGCTTTCGGAAAAACTTTGATAGATAGTCAGTTCATACTTGATCAGCACGTGACAGTCCTGCAAACAGAGGCAAAACGAGCAATCCTGCAAATAGATAAAGTAGAACAAATTAATACCGACTTGATAAAATTAACACACATACCATTCTAAAGAACTATCATGCAATTTCCTTATAACGATATTAAAAGAGCACCTGGTGAATTTCTCGGAAAGTTCTCCGCCTCTGTATTGAGTAAATTCACTACAGCATCAACATCATCCTGGCCAGTGAGGAAAATAAGAATGTCACCGGCCGGCTCCTGCAGACAGAATTTGACGTACATGAGTTCAGTTTGATATTCTTCATGGGTTAAAGAATTGCATTGACATTGCCTAATTACTGGACACTGAAGTTGAGCAATTGCTTTCCTGAAAGACAAGAAAGGGTTAAGCTTACCGACTTACCATTTTATGTATCGAGAGAGTCGTCGACACTGAAGCCAACACATAGCTTGAAACTGGATCCATAGAGTAGTGTACACGGACACTATGAGACCTTCCCTAAATCACAAGTCAGGAGCCAAATTTGAGTTAAGGAGCTAGAACATGTAGTAAGTCATATCCAGTCGATGCGTGTGGGTTTTGGGTCAAAGCAGTTTGCTTAAAGCCTAAAAGAAGCAGACGCAGCTTGGGTTATAAAGAGTTATTTAGGATATCTCATTGCCTCTGGAGCTATTTTATTGCCGTAGCTGGAGGAGGTCAGGGTGAGGCTAAGGTAATCACTATCTAGTCATACTCGCTAACTAATAACCCAGAGGAACAAAAAATATATCCAGACTTGGAGGGATCGTTGGAAGGGTTTAAGGAAGTGTTGCTAGATGAGTTATCGCCTGTATTAACTCCTCGTCGTTCTCTCAATCATCGAATTGATATGTGTGAAGGTTCTAAACCGCCTGTTATACATTTACTTCACTTGTAGTGGACTTACTTCAATCAACAGGCAGTTAGCAAAATGAAACTTGCTGGGTGGGGTAAAAAGTCAGGGCTATTTGATCGTTAATTACGGCTGTTAGCCTTACCTCAACTGTGATGCTTGCAGGCTTTCGATCTGGTAATGACTCCGTTACTGAAGAAACCTTGATTCTTTCAGCACTGAGGTTAACAAACACAATGGTCATGTGACGTGATCTTCCATTTTACATTGAACTCTTTCCTAAACAGAGTTCGTAATTACATTCGGAAAGTCGCACCATCCACTGCAGGAATCCCAGATGCAAAAAAGCTCACTAAAAATAACTGACAATGGGATGCATACCTAGTATCGAAGAAGGTGGCTACACTTGCTGCATCCATAGTTGCAGAAGCGATTATAACTCTCAATTCTGGACGTCTTTTCTGAATCTGACAGACATATCCATACACTTGAAATAAGCAGACGCAGTTCCTGTCTGTGAAAGAACCATAACGGTCCTTAACTCCACCTCGAAAGCCTAACTACAGCAGATGGACCTCTTCTAGACTCTGTGTATGTCTTAGTAAAGGATGTAGATACCAACCAATGACCATTGTGGTGATCAAGGTTAAGAAACCACAAAGGATGCCAAAATCAGGCAAATCAAGAGAGTACCTCATGAGGAGAGGACAAGATAATGTAGACTAGTCGCCGCATTTACAACCTTACATTCTAAATAGCTATACCTGGTAATAATACAAAAGAAAGCCAATCACTACATCGTTGATGAGAAGCACTTCAGTATCATGGAGCATTTATATGACTGGAGTTTACTTCACTGAACAAGGAAACAACGTAAAAAGTAATACCTTCTTCAAAAGACCAAGCAAAACATCCGTTGTGACACTTCTTTCATGCGCCTCATCGACCATGATGACACTGCTCCTCGAAACGAGTAAACATACCAAAGGTTTGAGAAACAAGCACGACGTGGTTGACCACCAACGACAGCAGGTAATGCAATATAGACCGAGTTGTAAAACTGTCACACTACCACTATTCACAAACTAAAGTTCGAAGGTGAAAACAAGGATGAAGCGATTGCGGAACATGTATGAAGCCCTGAGGTACTCAATTATCGGAAAAGAGCAGACCTGTATCTCGAGAGTAAAGGATCCGCCATCATTTCTCGGATGAGCACACCATCAGTCAAAAATTTGATCTTTGTTACACCCTGGAAAGGTTAAAGGTCCCAAACAGTTGGAGGAGTGTCTTTGTAAGAATATATATCGAATCGATTTAATTGTCTAGAATGCGGGACAATCTTGGATTTCATAATCTTATCGCGCTTATACACTTTCATTCTATCCTTATCGAACAAACTCACCTCAGTGATCTAAGCAACAAAAGGTTCCCTTACCCTCGAACAAACAGAAGCAAAAGTTCCAAAAACTCAGAGACCAGGCAGAAAGCTCCCTGAAAATACGTACCGGTGTAGTTACTTCTTCAAAACGGATCGAGTAACCAACCTCGGCACCAAGAGAAACTCGCATTTCTTCCGATACTCTTAAAGCGACTGTCTGCATGGCGGGTTACCTATATAAATAGTATATTCTTGAAGCTAAAACTTTTGGGTTAAGTAACATTGTGTTTTCTTATGTCGATGGTGGTATATGATTGCACATTTGCCGTTCTTTATGTTATCTGACAAGCTTATAATGACAGAGGCAAAAGCACCACTTTTAAATAGCAACTATCATCAGATAAGTAAAAGCAAGGCTCTCTGCTTCGAGCGTCTGTGTTACTTTACTAGGACAAACATTGGACAGTCAAATCGTAGCCCACTTAATTCTACTATCCTTGTTGCATCCCAGATGGTCAGGTTCAATCAATTCAGAGGTAATTTAAGAGGTCCAATTTTTTAATTTTAGAGGTCAAAACTGTACGCACAGTGAAATCCTCGATAAACACAACAAACAAACAAAAAAGGAACAACAGAGCCCAGGAAACACACAAAAAATAAACTTTAATGAAAAAAAGTCCAGGATACCTGAGCAGCAATACGCCGGGGTTGGGTGCAAGCAATGAGCCTCCCTCCTTCAGCCCATCCAGCCTCCATTAGATACTGAATATGGAAATTGAAACGACCGCATCATGATATGAGTTCAAGAAATGTCTGATAATTCTTAAGAACAGCGACAAGTCTTCACGAAGGCCAGCTGATAGCTCAGCGAGGAAAAGTTTTTATAGTTTGTACGTACAAAACCGAAGCTACAAAAGAGAATGGTCATTCTCACATTAGCAAGGTTCAGCTATAACACCATTCACTCTAACCGTACACCTTTCAATATTTCTCACGCGAACCTTCTCCTTTACTGAATGGTACAGAAATAACCTGTGGCAGTTGGGTTGTTTTACCACACCCAGTCTCTCCAACGACAACAGTAACACCATGTTTTTTCACAAGATACAGTAATTCATGACGATGTTTGAAAATTGGATGTCTTTGCCTCCGCTTTTCGAAGCTAAATTGGCCTGACCTGTAAATTCCAGCACAAGAAACTCACATTAGCAGCTCGCTAGGGAACGGAAATTTGCACTGACAATCCTTACTCGTCTGTACTCAACAAAATTACTCACTCCTCAAACAGTCCCACAGGAAACTCTTCATCTCCACGAAACGCAACCGATGGCCGCGCGTCAGGCCTGTCGTTCCCGGGTTTCCAAAAGTTTGCCATGAATTTTCTTCACAGCATTCCTCCAATCTGCAAAAACAGTTCTTCACAGAGCATTGATCATCGACACCCTCTCCAACTAAGCAGACTGAATACCACGTGAAGGAGTCAGACCCCGGGCCACTGTGATTCAAAAGAAATTGCGAGAGCTGCTGGACATCAATTTGAATCTTTAATGTGCCATCTCGCTGTCGAACACAATTCGTAACTTTTGACAGTCAGCACTGAACCCAGAACAAACAAGAATCTTGCCCCTGTCTTCTTCGCTCAGGGTTTAGTCGAAATCGAATCGAGCGCAATTTCGGGCCGTGAATTTCGCGCAAATTTCACCCCTCACTCCTCGCCGCTCTGAAGCAGCGTCCGAAGGAATATTCTTCGCCATCCATCCGAGAGAGACGCATGTGAACATGGTCCGGCACTCGTGTTAACGGGGTCCATCCAGCCCGTCCCGTCCATGGACGGCGATCGCGACCGTGAGAGTATCAACGCTTCCAGCGAAAGTCGGGTTCTTGTTTCCACGTCGTACGAAGGAAAGAGCAGCAACGCCGGTGCCATCGCTCGGTCGCCGTTCGAACCAGTGCTGACGTGGTCAGCTTCGGTCTCAGTCGCAGCGAGCTCGAGATTTTCAGCGCGGCTGCCTCAAAATTGTCCCCGCGTCGAGATCGTGGAATCACCATCGCCCACGCTCGAACTTGCTCTGGAAGAGCGAGGCTTGTGACTGAAGGAGATGTTGGGAGCTTTGAAATTCATCCCGCGCGATGAGCTGGAGGTAAGTTTTCTTCGTGATCCTCTGGAACGTGGAAATTGTGAATTTGTGGTCGGTTCGTGGAAGTGAAGGCATTTGATGGCTCGAAGGCTGAGATTGTGTTTGGGATGTGCCGGTTGCTCAGAAAGAGAGTTCGGAAAAGCCAGCGAAGAAGCGGAAGCATCATAAAGATCGTGGGAAGGGCAAAATTAAAAGCAGAGGAAAGAAAAAGCGACAATTCGAGGACGATACGAGCGATTCCTCGAGCGATAGCGACGATATCCCAGGTTTGTTTCTTTGCTCTTCACGTTTTACAATGTACTTTTCTCCCTGGCCTGTACAACTTCATTAGTCTCGTACCTGCAGCTTTTTTAATAGAATGTTAGGTTTCGTCTTTGATTACAAATGACCATCCAAACTGTTTGAAACTCGCGGTCGTGAGGAGCTGCCGCCTTTATATGTCAATATCTAATCGATTTCAAGCCCTATAATATACACCTCCGGACCTCGGGCTAAACTTCACATCCGCATTCCACTAGAAAAATCAGTGCATCATTTGTATATGAAGAGGTCACAGTAGCCCGTCTGGTGTGATGGTTCCAGCATTTTGAGTAATCTTTTGATCTAAGCTGTACCCTTGATGAACAATTTAGACCGAACGAACGAAGATTCTGCACAAGGAATCCGTGAGGATGCGAAATCCAAAAGGCGGGAGGCGGGAATGGAGTGGATGCTCAAAGCACCGGAGCGGTTGTTTGACAAACCTGCAACTGCAACTCCAAAGGCGGCCGAAGACCATCCTACACTTGATTCTGAGGTACACAGGCTGAAAACATGACACCTACCGCCTGTTTATTATGTCTCTCTGAGTCTCCAGGACAATGTGCCAGAGTTGGTAATTTATGCAATTCGTGCAAATTCAGTGCACGTTGATTTTGAAGCTGACTTATGAAGCTTTGAGTGGAGCTCTCAAGTTGCATGAAAGACTCTTGGTCTTACACACAACTTTCCTTTGAAGGAATGTCTTATTGTGTGTAACAGAGGCCGCAAGTACATCCAAGGGAACTCAATCCTTATGTATCCTCAGGAACAGAGGAAAGTGGAGTACAAAGACTGCCAAGACCTCCTCCTCCTCCAATTGGTGATGGAGGTGCTAGCTGGCGTTTGAAGGCACTGAAGAGAGCACAGGAGCAAGCTGCCCGAGAAGGGCGCCAACTAGATGAGGTATGTGTCTGGAACGTCAACCAATCGAGCCACTGAGAATGTTTAGGTTACTGCAAAAAGCATGCACACTCAGTATCAGATGAAGGAATATTTATTTGTGAGTCTTGAAAAATCCGGGCAGGTCGTCGAGGAGCGTTGGGGTTCACTCGCTACTCTCACCAGTAGTGTTGCGGTGAAAAGATCAGCTCACGCAAACGCGCACCTGCATGCTATTAGAGACAGAAAGTCTCGAAATGACGACGAGACTGTCGATGGCGAGGAGAAGACCTTTCAGCGTCCAGAAAGAGGCTTCCAGGGTGAGAACCGTGACCGTGGAAGGGACAGAGATCAGGTTTCACGGATGAGAGTTCCTCGTGTGGACCCTTCTTTATCATGGAAGAGCAAGAAGAAGTATGATAATCAGTCACTCCGTGCGGAAGATGCAGCTATCATACGTGCTGCAGCGACGACAATGAATAAGTTCAGCAACGATGGCTCTTTTTTGAAGAATTTTAAACCTGAAGGACCAGCTGTTGCAGATGATCATCCAGTTGCTGAGGAGGATTCTTCCGTCCCGCCGCGGGGACAAGGTGAACGGCTCGTAGACAAGACATCAGCAGATATTGCAAGACTGAGCAGGCTTGGTGGCATAGTGGCAGATGATGCAGATGCTAGGGAGGATTTCTCTGTCCCGTCACGGGGAAAAGACGAACTTCTTGCAGCTAAGACATCAGCTGATATTGCAAGACTGAGTAGACTTGGGGGCATCGTATCTGATGATAGCAGTAGCGATACAGAAACGGCCCCTCAAAAAAAATTACCGGACCCTCCAGTGAAAAACACGACACCGAGTAGTAGTGCTGGTCTTAGTGCTAATCAAGTTGCTGCCAAGGCTATGCGACTGCGTTTGATGGGCAAAGTCGAAGAGGCCGAAAAGCTTACGGTAACTTATTCCCCTGGAATGTGGCTTCTGGATTTCTAGCGAGTTGTATTAGATCTGGTTTTCTCAAATGTTATCAGTTTTCTTTAATGATACCTAGATATGTGCTGTCAACCTAGTGAGCTAGATTCGGTTTGAGCGACGTGAGCATGATCTTTCCGGCCATTTTGTGGAGATTAAGCACTTGAATGTAATTCAGAGCTCGTCGAATTGTTGTCTGAGGTTTCGAGTTCGATCGTCTTTTCTGTTACTTAAGATCCATATTACAAGTTAGACTATCAAACTCTTAGCTGGGTGAAGCACTTCAATAATTAATCAGAATTGGACATGGTGGACTTGCATGATACAGAAAGATTATGAAGCCGATGTTAAGGAGAAACGGGTCTCCAAACCCCCTACTCAGGATGATACTCCTCACTTTGTGCAGAGTGAGCGTCAAGGGTATGGTTGACCCTCATCTCATCACCATCTCAGATGATACTGTATAAGAACGAGCACCCGCGTTTTGCAAAACTTTATGATGCTCCGCAACCCTGTTGTTAAGAGATGTGATGAGCATTTTTGGGACAGATGTAGATTTGTCAAAGGATATTGTACAATCTCCTCTCAAGCTTTCAATGTTGGCATGGTAAGATAGCATTGAGCGCTAGAGTGTTATTGTATTGGTTCATTGTGGTTGTTGCTGAAAGGACTGCCCTATACTTTCAGGTCAGGTAGAGGTGCTGGCATGAACTTGAATTCAGTCAAACCTCGAGACAAGATCCGGGACCGGAACCAGAGCTACGATGCCGAACTGGCCGGCAGTATTTCACGAAATAAATTATACAAAGGGAATGTGGACGATGAATATGATTATGGGGACGGATGCGACATGGAAGGATCTCGAGGAAAGAAGGGTAAGCCGGCGAGGCCGAGCGTTAGACCAAGAGTAGATGGTGTCAACCGAATCTCAACGCAGCAGGAGCGTTGTCAGTTTTGTTTCGAGAATGCAGATAGACCTAAGCACCTCGTAATCGCCATGGCGAATTCCACGTACCTTATGATACCTCCGCGGACTTCTCTTGTACCCTTCCACTGCTTCATCGTCCCTATGCAGGTATTTCACCTACTTTCACATTGCACAGGTGTTGGCTTGTCGTTTTTTCCTTGTGCCATTGTGTCGAACTCCACGACGAACTATTGTGAAACCGACTTCCCGGGTCCGGACTCGCCTCAGTATTGGTCTTGAAGTATCTGTCTACATGTCTTGATTTATATCTGCTTCTTCTGCTTGTCGAAATTAGTCGTACCCTTTCAGAAATAATGGTATCTGAGTACAATGTTTTGTGCAGCATGAAGGTGCAACTCGGAATGTAGATGAAAGTGTCTGGCAAGAGCTGCGCAACTTCAAGAAATGTTTGGTTCAAATGTTTGCAAAGCAAGGCAAAGAAGTCCTTTTCTTGGAGACTGCCATGGAACTGGCACGACAGAGAAGGCATTGCTACATTGAGTGCATCCCTGTTCCGTCGGATGCAGCTAAAGACGCTCCATTATACTTCAAGAAGGTCGGTGTAGATGACGATTGGTTTTCCTATTGATGTGCTCTTGAGCTGGTATCGAATTGCCCTCTAAAACTGAAATAGGTTGCTCAACATCCTCATTGATCTCAGGCACCCTTCACCTTCTCCAGCATTAGCCAGGAGTATGTAGCATGCGGTTGTGAACTTTTTGGTTCCTTGAGTTAACCTTCGACCATGAGACCACGAAGACTTTGACCTTTGAGCACTTGTTCCGTTTAATTGTTTTGTAAATTTTTCCACTCACAATGTCTTCATACTAGATTTTCATATCACTACTCGTCAACGCTGTTGCTGTAGGCTTGAAGCAATCATAAGCATATGCGTCCGGTTCGACCACATCTTTGCTGTTTCCCACCATTTCCTCCCTGACTGTTGAAGTTATTTCATGACAGGCAATTGACGAAGCTGAAGACGAATGGAGTCAACATAATTCTAAAAAGCTTATAGATACGCGGCAGAAGGGTTTGCGAAATAGCATACCTAAGAATTTTCCGTACTTCCACGTAGAATTTGGCATGAAGGGTGGCTATGCCCATGTTATTGATGATGAAAGCACTTTTAAAGCCCAGTTTGGTATTGACGTGGTGGCGGGTATATTGGAGCTTCCAGAAGAAGATACTTATGGACACCGTAGGCCAGATACTTACGAGCAGCAGAAGAGAAAAGCTGCAGAGTTCTTGAAATTATGGGATCCTTTTGATTGGACCAAAATGCTGGACTGATGGTGTCCAGCGAGTTATACAATGTACATTATCACGTTTAACTGATCTAGATGGAGAAGTCGAGATTGAATCGGAATTGTGAAGCATCTAATCGATTATTATGCAGATTTTCGTGCATGTAAAGGGTATATTCTTTGTCAATATGCTGTAATTTTAGCGTCCTGCAAAGAGGACGCTTAGTAGATTTGGAGAAGATCAAATTATAATGGCAGATGTGATTTAACATCCACTCTCGCATATTGTCTGCAAGTCGTGATGCTAATTTGGTTCATGATATCACTCATTTCCTCGCCACTCCATCACGCTGAGAAGGGTTACGACACCCGAAATTTAACGTCGGCGCACGTCATCTCATTTCGTGGAACAAATCTGCGAGTCTTTTTACAGAAGATTTTGGTGTTGTCGGTCTTGTGACCAAGTAGATTACATTGTACACATCGTTGTGTGTAAAGCAATAACGATATTTTCTCAACATGTCATTGTACACGTGAATAAACAATTGTCTCCTAACCACTGCGTGTTGTCAGACCTCGATGATCTCGAGAGATAGTTCCTCCGGGTTGTGCAAGGTACAAATACACGGCAATCGTCCTGTACCCTTACAAGCTTTACAAGAAAGCTTAAAAGCAGTGTCCTTATCAGCAATAATTTCCCTCTTTTGCAGCCAGCCCATGCTCCATCTCTCCCTCTCCTGGCAACCAACAAAAAGGTCGTCAAACTATTGCAACCGAGCTGAGTGGTCGATAAGGGATAAGTAAAATAAATTGACAGCTCGAGGCACATGCCAACCAGAGAATTAAATCCTGCAAACAACTTCCGAAAACTTTGGAAAAGTAAAATTTAAATAAGTTCTGGATAACACATGAGAGATTTCCAATATTGTAGACCACGTGCCAAAGCAAGGCTATAGGCATGCCCGAAGTTGATGCCATGTGGAAGCAAGTAACCAACCTTCAAGTTTTTTACATTGACCCAAAACCGCGTGGACTCATCACAAGTGGCACTCATCTCAACGAACCAATCTTTCCCTGATCCCCTTCGTTTGGAATGCACTCGGAAGTGACGCCATCCAAACGTACTCTCCATGGCAGTCCATTTGGATCCTGTTCAGATACAGTTTCAAGGCCCCATCTTGAGTGAGACTTGTGACCATGGATTTCAGTCTCAAAAGTTCCACAATTTTCGTGTTCATAAACCTCATTCTGTCATAAACCCCACGCCGAATTCGACATTCTCCAAGCCAGTCTTTACACCTCTCGTCGCAATTGTGTTTCATTCTTACACTCGGTCATTCATTTGCCGTTTATAACTGTCGACGTGCTAAGGAAACAGACGCTCCGTGCTGCAGGATCGAGAGGAAAACTCACCAATTATCCGATCCAAATCGACAGGATTTTTCTTGTGCCATCCACCCTTCGCTAATTTACCTTCACCGGTGCATTTGTCACAAGAAACCTCAGCCAGACCTGTCAAGGTCGACGACAGATTATTATTTAGGTTTTCAATTTCAGAAATGTTTGCTTCGCCCTCGGAGTGGAGCTGTTGCTGCCGCTGTCTTCATATTTGACTTCACAAGCTCACTATGGGCAAGAAGACTGACAAATCCTTTCGACCGATGTGAAGAAAATAATTTTGAATGGGAGAAATAGAACGAATGGTGATGAAGTACAACTCAGGATTGAAAAGAGAAAATCCAAAGAACACAAAATTTACGAACAGCGATGAAATATCTTCAGGTGGTCAGCTTGGTTCACAATAGTATCCACACAATTTGCGCTTTTTGTGTAAACGGGCCAACGAAATGTTGAACCAAGAACCAAAAAAAAGACTCGATAACATAAAAGAGAAAGAAATTGAAAGATCTCGCTTCGTTCCAGAGGCCCACTCAACCTCCCGGACAGAGTTGCTCGATCGACTCCAATCCCAAGCGAACAACCACATGCACGTCAACGTGGTGACTCGCATACACACCTTTACAATGTCGACAAGGAAGACGAGGATACAAATCCGCCAAAGACTTGACGAATTCTCCACTACTGCCACTTCCAATGCTAATCTCACTACTCCTGCTAACTTCCCCCTCCTTCCCTCCAGCGGCAGCAGCAGCAGCGGCACGCACTCCGACCCCGACTACTCTCCCCTTCTCGATTCCAAACGCCTCACGGGCATGAACAAAAGGCGCACACGAGACCCGATGCCCAATCATACGCAGCATCACTCACTCACTCACTCACTAACTCACAGCCCCTCCCACCGACCATTCACAGATCCCACGCCGCAATCAGCCACCCGAGACACGATTCAGCTGCACGCACATATTCTTCTTCGCAATCCGAATCGAATACCTGTCAGTCAGTGCCGTGCCACAGCCTGCAGCCTGCTCCTCTGCCCTCCTGTGCCCTGTGGCGATGGCCGATCCCGATACAATCGTACCTTCCGTGTCCGCAGGCGCTGAGACTCTGCGAGCAGCGCCCCGCGGCCACGACGAGTTCCCAGTCTCGGTCGTCAGTCAGTCGCTCGATGATCTTCTTGCCTCACGGCGCCCCGAGTCTGTGAACGACGCTCCGACGCGTGGACAGCGGGCGCTCTGGCTCCCGAGAGCCCATTACAGTACAGTACAGTACTTCGACGACTTCCGCCGCACAGTCCCCGGTTCGCTCCCACATTCCGAGCCCACCTTTCTTTTGTTTTCTTTTCCATTTTCGCTCCTTCTCTCCTGCACAGTGATGCTCGACCGGGACTCGGCCGCGTGACGTGACATGGCGTCTCGATTGCGTACTCTTCGGTCGCCCTCATCGTTCGCTCCGTTTTAACCGATGGCTCTTCGTTTTCGTAGTACATTGTGTAATTCTTTTCCGGCCTCCTCTTGGGCAGAAAAGATTGCAAAAAGTAAATTTAACGTAGTAAATGATATAAAGTGGTTTTTTAATGAAAAAAATGTGCAACATGTGATTTGTGCTTATGTTACTATGATATAAACTGTATTCTATACACTTTATATCATTGTAACATAAGCACATTCTTATGTGTGAAAAAAATATGTATAAAAATATTGCATCAAATTTTATTGAAATCTATTTGGGTTTGAAGAAAAACATCAAACCAAAGGAATATAAATACATTCCGCAGATTAAAATTTCCTGAGCATGAACTAAGAAGGGACTCAAATAATGGAAAAATTTCTCTAGATACACCAAATTCAGATCTCAAAATAATAAAGTTTCATATATATATATCAATCATCCCTCAACTGTGCTAAGGCAATAATCGGATAGTCATGTTTGTAATAATCCAATAAGAAAAAGAAATATATAAATTAGATGACCAACAATGATTTCTTGTTATTTATTTTATATATAATAATTATAAAAATAAATATTATCATATTTCACTATGTAAAATAGTGAAAACATAATAGGATTAAACCGAGAATCATCAACAGTAAATCACAACGTATCAACGTGGTTCACTCTTCAGAGTAAGAATTTCAAGAAAGTGCACGCAAGTGAGTTTACTACCTTATGTGGAAAAACATATGTTTTGTACATAAACCTTGGGGTATATATATATACTCAACACATGCCACACTCCTAGCCTGAATATCTAAAACCTGAATTTAACCCCATCAAAACACACTTTCCAAAATAAACTAATAATTGGTAAAAAAATTATGTTATGATGTAGTAGAATTGACTCGTAATTACATTAAGACAAAAATTTTCAAATCTACCTCCATGTAACTCTCATGTTATGTGAAAAATTTTATAATATTTTTCAATTTACTGAACTTGAATATGTAGCAAAAAAGATACCAAAGAAAGACAGTGGAAACAAAATGAAACAACCCCAGCTTCTTCATGAGTGACGTCATACATCATGGGTAGTATTTATCTATCAATACAGACTTTAGGTAGAATGAATATATATATATATATATATATATATATGGACATAGTGACTACTTCAGCTAACATTGACCGATATATAAAGATAGAAAGATAAAGATCAAGTTACAAAGATCCTATGAAAACATCAGGACCTTTGCACATGATATTTTTTGGGGTTTCATCGATTGAAGGTTTGGCCATTGAAATTCACAAACAAAAAAAATTCAAATATGAGTTTTAAACATCATTTGATTGTCTCAAATAATCATTTATTATTTGTGGATTTTTTTCAAGAATATTTTATTATTTAGACTAGTTTTGCACCTGTTATAAAAAATTGTTACTTCAAGTAACTTTTCACATATCAGAATTTTCCGATTGGTATAGTTATTGATGATTACAAGCTGCATAATAATCATGCAACATTTTAAATTAAATAATCACCATATATATTTGTACAATTTTTTATAATGTCTTTTTATTCAAAAACAATAAATTTGATAGTTTAAAGCAACTATATGCTTTAAATATTTTATAAAAATAATCACATGTATTTTTCTATAAATTTTCTAATTAGAGAATATTTTTTACTTAAAAAAACACAAACTTTGAAGATGAAGAACATATATGGAAATATAATGATTCACTCTACCAACATATAGAATGAAATAAAAAATCATCTTTGGTATTCAATACTCTCATAATGCATTTAAAACATGATGGATATATTGAATAATGATGTGTCACTTTCCACTAACACATTTATTCTAACTTATAATAATTATATGTAACAAACATCTTTCAATGCTTGAATAGCAAACTTTTGAATTAATTTTCATGTTTATTCTTTTGACTATCATATATCTTTTAGTTTAAGTTAAAGTAGCAGAATCTTTCACAAATCTACAATGAAAACTAGTAAATCATTAGAAATTCTTCAGTTGAGTTAGATATTCAATTTTAAAATGACTTTATCTTATCATTTGAATTTTTCTGTTCTATCTCTATGATCCACATATATATCATTTTTGCATAACATCTAAAATATTGTATTTCTTATAATGTTGATTCAAAATTGTGCTATATATCAAAATATCGTCTAAAATAAAAGCAAAATTTATAAATTTACATTGATATGATATGAACAAATACAACCTACAAGAAATACAATGTGATTCAACAGCTAAGAATATATCTATTAAAACACAATAAAGTTTACCAAAACTCTCCTAATATAAATCATGGAAACTACGATATGCTTTTATATAAAATGAAAAACAAGCTAGATTTTTTAACATAGAAATTATTTTATTTCTAAATTTATATTTTACAAAGTTAAGAAAGATTTATATATAATTTGTGTGAAGATAAACAAAAAAGATGACTTATACACAATCATAAGAGTTCATAGGTGTCAAAACATAAATGATTCATCTCAATGAGATTGCGTGCACTTTGATGTGATTGCCTTTTATTCAAATTTTGATTTTTTTACTTTCAAATAATTACAGATATTCTATGATTAATTTATCAATGAAGAAATAAAAAAGGGTAGAAAATATTATATTATATATTGTAAAATTCAATAAAATTTATCACATATAAAATTTCCTATATATATGTAGGAAATCATATATACAATGTGTAAATATATCAACATAAAAACAATCAAACTAAGGTGTCAATAATTACATAAGAATTCTAAATTTTATTCAATATATTTATTTTTCATCAGTAATTTTTCTTAACATACAATTTTAATTTTAATTTTTTTCAATGACTATATTATGAATGAGATTATTAATTCTTGTATTTCCATTCACTTTTAAAAACAAATCATACAAAAAAAATCATGGAATTTTCTTTGCAATCTTTTCATGCTAGTTTCAAGGGTTTTTATAGAATATTATCTTAAAATAATTGTAAATTAAATTAAATTACATTGTACTTTAATATGAATATTATTTGAATTATGACGCAATAAAAAATACAATAAATATAAGTAATGATCTTATATATAAAACTGAAATTATTGCGATTTTTTAAATATATAATATTGTTTAATATAGAGATATTTGCTTGATGGAACCTCATTAAGAACATATTCGCTTGATGGGACCTATCAAATTTTGTTTTACTCAATGGGACCCAATGGACGGTGTGCCGTCGATGAACTCTAGTAAATGTTCTAATATGAATATGTTCTTGTACCTGTCGACGGTCGGGGTCGACGAGGGGGCGGTGCCTCATTTGGGTCGGGATCGCGACGTCGAACAAGCATTGCGAGAAGACGAAGTCAAGAAACTTAAGCAGTGATTCGCGTGCTTGCTTAGACATGGAGTTTAGGATTACTTACAGGGATGTTTAATTTGATTTCCAGGGATTTGTGAATTGGGATCGGATGCGGCTGACTTGTCATGAACAAGAGGATTCATAGTCTTCTTAGTGATGGAGACATTAGCAGGGACGACCGCTGCGTTTGTTCTACGATCAAGATTAGGAACGGGTCGCCGAGAATATATTTGAAGGGGATATTTTGATGGTTTTTGGAAGGTTAAAATCGGCAAGAGGAGCAATTGTAGTTTCTCGACATTTCGTGTCAGACAGTGGAGAAGTGGCCGTGTTTCATTATAAGAACATTTCCATCGGTAATGGAAACTAATTTCGAGTTTGATACGTGTCTCCACGAGGATCTAGTAGTGTATGCGATTCACGAACTCACCGTCTATTCATACTAGAACAGTCTGACGTGTGCCGTCGTTGCGGTCCCATTGGGTAAAACTAAACTTGATGGGTCCCATCAAGCAAATATCTCGCATACAATTCAAATTTAATCACAACACAATTTTTATAAATTGATTATGTTTATTTTCAAAAGTTATTTATTAAATGGAATATAAATACTTAATTGGATTCTTAAATTGTAATATTCTTATGTATGATTTAAAAAATTTGAAATGATTTTGAACATGTAATGTTGATATCATAAAATATATTTTAGAGAATTATTATCATATAAATCTAATTATATTCTGTCATAAAAAGTTATATAATTTTAGTGCTGAATGATCTTTAAAATAACATATTTAGTATCAGATATGATAAATTGTTTAATGAAATCATATTATGGTACAATAACCATCAAAATATTAAATTAATGATTTATTATTAGATGATTTTCATATTTTATTGTGAACAATCTCATTGCAACCATAAGAATATTGCATTAAAACTTAACGGCTATTTCAATGTAGAAATCATTATTTGTTTAATTTTTTTTTGAAAGCAAATGATCATTTTCTTCCACTTCAAAGTCAACCAAAACATCGTCGCTAAAGCGAGCACATTGGGGCATATTGACAATACCAATTTTTGTAATTCTTCCCAATAAACCTATGAAACACTTGATTACCTAGGGAAATAAGTGGCAAGTGGTGATTGGTGGTAGTTCCACACTAACTTTCCAACTTTCTGGAAAAAGAAAACTTCTGCATGGTTCCACATAACGTTGAGCTGTCCAGTTGCCTTTGACACTCCTTGTGGTTGATGCTTCTCGCACAACTCGATCTTAACCTCTGCCGTTTTGGCCAATTCGATTGCCGCATCCCATATACGTTGTTTCAAGAGTGCTAGCAGCCACCCGTGGTTGTGGAAGACGAACTAGTTTCTCTGGATCCACATCACCCAGAGCACCGCTTCCTAGATGAGCGTCCAAGATTGCCGCAGCTGCGGGAGATGAAGCGAAAGTGGTTCTCCGAACA